CCCCTCTAGATCCCGACCATATCCTACTTGGCCATGCTCACTCGACGCCTTCAAAACTCGCGAATAAAAGGGCCTCGATAGGCCCACGAACCCCACGCACTCCCAATACGCCATCGTCTGCTAAACCCCCAAATCCCACGGCCGCTCATCCCATGCCTCCTCATGAGCACTCCTTTAACCCCCATCGCAACACCATCAATGGCAATGCTAGCAGCAACCTCAGCAGCAACATACACAATGGTGCCCGAGTTCACCATAACGTCAACCCCAACCAAAACCAAAGTCAAAGCCAAAGTCATAACTACAGCCAAAACGTCAACCATATGAACAGCCCTCATCCTAACGCCAATCCAGTAGCCTATAATAACGGAACACAACCTGCGAATATTCTCCCGGTTTCACCTGCGCAAACAAATCCATCATCTGTTGCGCTGTCCCCTCCAAATCCACCGAGCAACAAACCTCTCCCTCCGCCCTCAACTAAACCTCAATCACATCGTACCAACCCATTTCCGCATCATTGTTACTTCAATATCCCTGAAAAGCTTAATGGCGGCAATCTGACTGAGGTCCTTAAAGCTATCCAAGAAATGGAGGCAGTGCAAGCAAAACTCAGAGAGCGAGCTGCATTTTTAGAGCAGTTGGGTGATAATTGGCAGTGAAACCAGTTTCATCCAGAGAACAACGACTAACCTTTAATCGTTCCCGATGAGAATATCTATTTTCTCATTTGGTTACCATTTTCTTCCAAGTTACAGTCCCGGCATGGTCTTCATATATATATATATATATATATATTTATATCTATTAATTACTTACTTCTGCGCTGAGCTTCCGTGTGGAAGCTCTTATAATAGGGCCGGTATGATCACAGGCTATGGCTCGTCTTTACCTTGAAAATTTCTTACACATGGAATACCCTTATTGTTTTGTTTAATACCAGCTTCAAGCGCTACTATTTACAGAATTATATATATTGACTTATAATGCATAGTTAGTCTACAGGATCTAAGTGCAAGTAAATAGGTTGAACTGTTATGAATATATTATATGCCTAGTGTATTGACCCTCTTGATGCTGTGTAGTAAGAAAAGAAAAGGATAAGGATAACCAGTAGTACAAACCTCCAGAAACGCCTCGCATAGCCCACGATGAATGATTCTAGAAATACAGATCAAACTGGATACCAGTGCTTACCGCCCGCTGCCAAGAGGTTGCATATGGTACGCCTGCTCATTATACACTTGCTGCGGCTGAAACGCCTGCTCCTCATCGCCAACTCGTTGGAAGCCATGCATCGCCCCCTGGTCATCGGGATGATAAGGTGTATCACAATCTGCAGACCACAGAGAAGGATAATAGCAGCGGTACACCAAGTACGCTGTCCCTAGACCTATAATTGATCCGCTGCAAACATCATACACATCGTGACGATAATCTGCTATGCGGGAGATGGCAATCATGAGTGCTCCAAGCAGTGGAGATAGGGAGACAAGCAGACGAGCAAGTCCTGATCGAGGGCGCCAGGCCCGGAGCTGGCCGGTAAGGAAGCTTTCCAACTGTTAGAATAATGGTCTCCGAACAGCAGCCAGTGATAAATACTTACAAAGAAAGGTATCCCAATCCCGAAAATGCAAAACTACTATGTCCGCTTGGAAAACTCCGCCAACCTTCATTTAGTATATGCGTGTCTGTCGATGTACATACTGTATGGTCGACTAATGTATGTTCTGGGGTACCCTTTTCTGGTTTACATCGTGAGATCAGGTCCGGCCGTGGCCTGCCAACGGCATTCTTAATTATATCGGTAATAAAGATGGTAACCAGCAGCGAAGCGATGAGGCCCAGGAGGGTGACATGGACGAAGTGGCTCCCTGGCCGAAAGAGGGCACACCATATACCAATTGCAAGGAGAGGGAAGATGCCAGAGTATATAATGGACCACACTAGTACAAAGATATGTTAGATAGACTGTGACGTGCTATTTATGGCCGTGTGTGGTGCCTTACAGACTGGTACCCTCTCAACGACAGCAAACGGGTATTGAATAGAGGAATCATCCAGGCTGAACAACTGGTGGAAGGGGTGTACGAAGAGTTGTAGCTTTGATACACCAGTCAGCTGCTGCTTTGTATTGGGAAGGGCGTCAACTTCGCAAAGACGTACCATCACCCATGCAAAGACGAGGAATATAAGAATCGAATAGTCCCCGCCATATGACCGGCGCCAGAACCGCACGAGAGACCCCAAACAGCCAGGCCGCTGAGCAAGCTCTGAAGCCTTTCGTCCGTCCATTGTCGTTCTCGTAGCTCAGGAGGCTAGCTTAGGGGAAGCGCACCTCTTTTGCATTTCACATATGTCTCCGGCGCCAGATAAGCGAGTCACGGGTAAATGAGTGAATAACTTCTTTCCGCCAGGTTGGTCTTCCAGCCACGTCCTCCAAGAGCCTCCCTGCAAGTCCGCTGTCTCTTCGTCTCCTCGCTGAGCGCTGCAACTTCAGTCTCACGTCTGAATCCTTGGATGTTTCTTTAGCTTCTTTTTTTCTCCTTTTGTTGATAGACCGGATTACATAATCAAGAGCTTCGCAACGACATTCAAAGGCAGGGAAGAGAAAAGACAAGCAGAGCAACAACGCGACATCGACGAGAATTGAAAGAGAAAAAGGCAGAGGAGGAGAGACGAACGAGGTATCTGAGAGGTGCTACAATGGAAGAAGGGGCCCAGAGAGGCGTCACCGCAGCATTTCCCCCGCCGCCACCGTTTTGGAGACACTTTAGCCGGGCCAACTTGAACAAGCTTGAGGATGCGAAGCGTGCAGCGCGGCCAGATGACGACGACGAGAAGAGGGCGACGAGCAAGGACTGGACACCAGCCGAGCTTCAGGCGCTAGATGTGGCGCCGGAGCTGAAATATTTGATACCGCCAGAGCCGCCCACAACGGACTATGTGCTCTTTGGCGAGACGCAGCAGGTTAGGGGATTCATGATATCCGAGTCCGTTAGGACTTTAGTAACTGACCAGAAGGCTACAGCTCTCCCCGAATCCCCCTTCGTTGGGTGACCAGGGAATAACTCAACTTTATCCGTCATCCTCGGCCACGTCTGGACACGCCTATCATCTTACCAAAATCACCAAGTCACTACTGCTAAATTTCCTCGAGCTTACTGGAATTCTTTCCATTGCGCCGGAACACGCTGAAGAAAAGCTACAGATGATTCGCACGTTATTTATCAATGCATACCACCTATTGAATTTGTACCGGCCCCACCAGGCACGGGAGTCGTTGAGCGAACTGATCGAGAGACGCATCGAGATGGCCAGGGAAGACGTGAAGCAGATGGAGGAGATAGAAGGTAGAGTTGCTGGCTGGCTTGAGATGATGTCGAAGAGTGACAAGGTAGAGGAAGCCAACGATGACAAGATGCAAATCGAAAAAGAGGGAGAAGATGACCAGAAGAAAAACCGTAAGCGGGTCTCAGAACACGATAGAGAGATTGAGGACGCGCGGGTAATGTGGAGGCTTCTGGATGAGATCGAAGAAGCTGGATGAAGCTGGATGCATTACCGGTACCCACAGCCTTGTCTGGCCGGATCAAAAACATCTACCTTCCCCCATACTAATTCTATGCTGTAGCAGTTGCAGAGCCGGCTTGCCTCTAGGCCTCATTTCCAGGGAATACCTCCTCGAGATGACACACATAAGGGCAGGCATTCCTCATTCGGCATTTACAAATGCAGAACTAGCCCAGATCAAAAGCGGTCCATGAAGTGCAGCTAAAGAATCCGGGCTCCAGCTAGGGAGACAGCTTTGTAGAGCTTAAGGCACCCTATACATAGGTGATTCTCTAAGGGAGTTACGATTGCTTTCCAGTCCTACCCCTAGGGCTAGGGCTAGTTAAACGAATATCTTCAGTTTTATCAAACTGTATGGACAAGGATATGGAAAGAATCATTAGATGTGAACGATGTATTATTTTGAAATGGGTCATTGTCAACTATGTACGGCCAGTCGATACCCCAAAGACTTCCTCCATTCTCCTACTTGTTGATTCAACGCTCGATGACTGACATAAATGAGAGGACGGAGTCAGTCTACATGACGACACAGACACATTCGCAGTCTTCGTCGCCGCACCCGCAGCCGAAGCACGGCTTCGAGACGCCCTTGATAGGCTTGGTGACGGAGGATGTCGCAGATGACCCAGAGGAGGTGGGCAAGGTCTCGTTGACCAGGGTAGTTTTCGTGATTTGAGCCATGTCGATAACTATGCAGATTTTTATTAGCAGCTATTTGGGTATGTTGGACTTCCAGAGTCGTGATAACGTACATGAAGGAAGGCCTTGGTATGGAGTCACAACGGTCTCGGAATTGCTTGTTTGATCTTGGCTTCTTCTGAGCTGAGAGCATGGACGTACGAGAGTAAGGGGCGTGTGGCTGGTTAAATACGTTTGCGTCTGCTACACTTGGTGTACCCCTGGGTTAGCTGGTTGACTATCATGATGACGAGGCCGGGATAGCCACAGCTGAGATGGAGACGGCAGGGAAGCGAGAGCGTGTCTCAGCTGCAAGTTGGCGTGGAGCTTGTTTAGTCTAGTGCATTGCTGTCTATAATGTGTCGGTAAAAAGGGGAACGTGGTAAACTGAACAAAAGGTACTTTTTTTGTGTTTTTCATCTGGCAGGCAATAAATAACAAGTCTTATCTCATTATCGTTATAGTTGGTTCCCGGCACCGAGCCGGTTCCAGCTAGGGGTATCTTGATTCTGATCTCCTATCTCCCTCGCACAATCCTACCCGGCATCTTAACCAGTTAACCAGGGCAGGCGCTTTCTCTATAACATGTATTTATGTCTCATCCCCGTCTATCCACTTTTTTGCTTTAGCATTTATGAGCTGAGTTTTTGAACAAAAGCAGCTGCTCCACCAGGCTGCATTTTATTAATCCATTTGACAAGCTCAATTAGCTCGGTCCGGCGTTCGTCATCTAGCTGGTCGCTGTCTCCAGTGAGGACAGACTCAAAGATCGGCAGCAGACGGGGTGTGAGTTGGCTGATAGTAGGGTTCTCCCATTTATCTAGGATATGTTAGTTTAATCACACAGAAAAAAAAAAAAAAAAAAATTTTAGACTTAACAGAAATATCAGGGGAGACATACAGAGTTGACAGATCATGCGATAGATGGGTTCGTTCTCGTCAAAATCATTCTGCAGCGGGAGGACATCAACCAGAGCAGGAAGGACTTCCTCCAGTGGCACGTTCTCGTGATGCTTGATGATCAGGCGGGCAATACATCCGGCAGCATTATCGGGGAGCCTAGCCTGCTGTATTTGAAGGCAGCGAGTAACCTTCTCTAGAATGGTAGGGTAAGCAGCCACGAGCTCGGCTTCGGCCTCGGATTTTTCAACTAGCATGCCAACAGCGTAACACGTGTTGCTACGAGTCTGCATGTCTTCGTCGGTAAGTCGGTGGGTGAAGAGGCGGAAGAAGTTGCCAGTGTATGGGGTGATTGCATTCCCGAGCCCAGAAATCACATCAGCAAGAACACCGATGGAGGTCGAGCGCTCGAGAGATTCGCTGCTAGCAGCAAAGCGGAGGACATATTTCTCGAATGCTGGCCAGAGAGCAACGAACTCAGCGCCGAGAGCGATGGCGAGGCCAGAAACGACATCAAGAGCGGTGTCAATAACATTCCAGTCAAATTCGGATAGCTCCTCCATCATCTCTCTGTCTTCATCTGTGGCATCAATATCCAGCTGACATGGATGCTGCTTGGTGATGATTGAGGTAACCAAAGATGTGACCTTTTCAAGATTCTCGCGGTTAGAGATCAAGTAAGGGCCACAGAAACGGAGGTTATCAGCAAAGTTGCGATTGATATCAGAGATCGCGGAACTATGATATTCAGTTAGCATAAGCACCATAACGTGGCTTGCAGTCAAGAGATATGAGGATAGAGATATTTAATCAGATAAGTAGATCGCTGTATCAGCAATCGCCCTTTGGGCGTCTGCGTGAGCTGGGTAACGAGTGTTGTCATCATAAGAAACAGGTAGGGAAAGTATGTAAGAAGCAAAAGGAGAAAAGGATACTTACGGATCGTCTTCCTCGGCCCAGCGTTGAAGGGTAACCTTCATTAAGATCTCACCGAGTTTCTTAAGCTCGTTTGGTGGCTCGCTTAGAGGCATGTTCTTGCCAGGCTGCCATTTCTGCATCTGCCCGGTTTCCTCACAGACCTGCCATAGAGCAGCATATGATCTGTGGAGAGTGGACATGGCACTCTTCCTTACGCCCTCGTACGAGTGCTCGGTGAGTGGGAGAATATGCTGCATGGTCATCTCGAAGAAAGGCATGAAGGATTTGCCGGTGTGAGTGATAACGTCTCCAAGAACCTCAATGGCAATCTCCTTCTCCAGAGAGACAGGGGTGACGGTGTTGAGGTTCTCCCAATCGTCCACGTCTTCAAACTCATCGTCATCGTCATCGTCGTTATCGTCTGCACCGGCAACGCGGACCTTGTGCCCGGCGATAGTGACCTCTTGGCCAACCAGGTCCTTGGCTGCATCTCCGAGAGAGACTTCCATCTCGGTCTCGTTCTGCTCCAGACAAGTAATTAAGGCCTTCACAACACCTTCTAGGTATGGGGTAAATTCAGATCCGTAGACCTTGGACATCACGCCCCAGAAGAGATAGGTGCTCTCCTTTAGGCGAGAGTGGTCGAGGTGGAGGGCCTCTTCGCTGGCTTGCATCAATGGGCCAACGTAGTTCTTGAAATGCTCGGGTCCAGCACCAGATGACATTTCACCCATGGCATCGATAACGCTGGCGCGAAGCTCGAGTTCCTCCTCGCTGTGTTTGAGGGTAGCAAACTCCTGCATAATATGCATGGACTCATCGAAGTAAGGCAGGAATGCCTCGCCAGCAGAGGAAGCGACTGATCCGAGAGCACTGGCGGTGTGGCCCTTGATCTTGAAGTCAGGGTGCTTGAACAACTTCTGCAGCAATGGGACAAGGTCGCTTTGGTAAGGAGCCACATCCTTGCTCTCCATACCGTCAACAACGGTGTCGGTTGCACTAAGGGAAGACTTGATCATATCTACTGTTGGGCCAGACTCGTCGCCGTTATATTCTTGCATGGCGCTGGCTAGGTTCTTCAAGAGCAATGGCATGAGGGTCTGATGCTGCTTGCTGACATCGTCTGGCAGAACATCGGCAAGGCGAGCAACGGTGTCGAGAGTAGCCTGGCGAACGCTAGCTTCGGGGTCCTGGAGTAGACGGAAGAGAACGGGGAAGATCTCATGCATCTGAGTGCTGATAAAGTCGGGAGCTCCGTCAATACACATGCCAAGAGACATGATACCAGCTCGGCGGTGGCTGGCATCCGAGCTGTTAAAGTACTGGCCAACTGCAGTGAGGAGTGGTACAACGACCTGGCTGGGAGCAAAGCTCTGAGACATCATGTCAAGCAGACCTAGAGCAGAACGAGCCGGAGTGATGTCATCCTCGTCAGAGTCCAAGCTGTCGAGCTCGGTAGCGATGGCTAGACAGGTACGAGTAAGCTGATCACCAAGCTGCATACCCTGGATACGAATCTTGCGATAGCTGACAGCCTGCATGAGGAAGCTGATGGCTTGAGTTCGGGTATCATCGCTTGCCTTGGTGTTGGCAGAGATTTCGTTCATAAAGATAACGAGATCCTTGAGGTGAGGGTTAAGAAGCTCGGGATCGCATCCTAGAAGAGTCTGGTAGACCTCGAAGGCCTGCATGATGCGGGCATCATCACCTTGGTCGATCGTATCCTTGAGGACGTTGACCATGGCAGGGAAAATCTGCTGGAAGGCCTTGACTGGCTTTTCGTCTTCGTCCGAGTCGAGATGGACGGCCAGCTTGCTGAGGGCGAGCAGGGTGTTGATGCGGACCTCTGCACTCTCGGGGTCACGAATCGTCTTTTCGAACAGGGCAAAAAGGTCCATGAACTTCTCTTCGAAGCCTTCGCCGAGGGTCTCGAGGATGGCAAAGAGGATATAGGTGCCCACAGCACGCTCCTCAGCCTTCGCGCTGGTCGACGCGTTCAACAGGAACTGCGGCAGATCCGCCCACTCGCCATCGGTCAGATCGATCTCAGCAATGGCCGAGATGACCCTGGCACAGGCATGGCGGACGAGAGCAGAGCTTTCGCTCAGGGTCGATCGCAGCAGCTGCTCGCGGACCTGTGGTTTCTGTGCATCGGGAACTTTCCCCCACAGCTTAATGGCGAGAGAGCGAGCCTCGACGGCGGCCAGCTGCTTCAGGTCGGCATCGTGATGTGTGGTAGCGATCTGGATGAGGAAAAGGAGAGCTTCAGGGTTTTTATAGTACACCTTTTGCAGCGTGTTTGTGGCTTCCTTGACACTTCCTTGGCTTGCTACAGTGAGACACGTTAGTAATAAGCGAGAGATAACGATAAGGATCAAAAGACAGCAGCGGAAAAAGGCAGCACGAGAGCAGCAGGAGGGGAATATCCTGGGAATATTTAACTGACGATTCAATATAATCTGCAATTGCTGCAGGAATTGCGCTTGATCCATCTTGACTTGACGGCTCCGAGCGAGCCTAGCACGCGATTTGCCTGTGCCTGCCTGAGCCTGTAACTAGATCGGCGAGCGAACCTCGATGACCTCACAGAGCTAATAACGACAGAATCACGCTGCCAGCACCGATCACAACGAGAAATTCCCTTCCCTGCGCAGCAAAAGGCCGGCGTTCTTCGAGTGGTTCAAGCTGACGTTGAAGTTGAAGAAGAAGAAAAATTTTGGTCGAACGTTTTTTTTTTTTTCCTTTTTGAGGTGGGGAAGGAAAAAAGCGAAATCATGTGCTTTCTTGCTCCCCGCTATTATGCTCGCAGTGTTAGTAACATAGATAGATCAGGGGGTGGCAGAGAGGCAGCGACGCTTCGATAGAGATAAAGATATTAGATGGCATTGTATTTATACGATACGATCAAGAACTGCCATGTCCAAAAAAGGAGGAGACTCCAGCATACAAGACTCGCAGGTCTATGGCCAATACATACTTGATAACCAAAAGGGAAAAAGGAGTACAGATAGAATATACAGCCACAGCAGCAGGGAAAGATAAAAGGATAAAGATAGATGGATAGATAGAACAAGACTAAATCTCTTCATCGTCGGAGTCGTAGTAGTCGTCGTCGAGCAGCAGAGACCTGTATCCGCGGGCAGCGAGGTCTTCTTCGAGGCCGCCAACAGCATGGGAATCAGCATAGCCTGATGGATAGTTAGCACAGAGATATGACAGATGCGGGACGAGGGTTGGCTTACCATCTCCACCTAGAAGACTGAGGGCAACAGGCAGGAATATAAGAGCATGAGTGGCGGCAAAGATGACCAGAGCCAGCCAGACGCGGAAGTAGTAGATCTCGAAAATCTTGCTGCGGGTAAACGCCAGGACACAGATTCCCACAAGCTTGGTAATGGTGATGCCACTGAGGACGCTGCCGCCGACGTTGACTAGAGCAGCCCAGGCTCTGGCGGACCGGTGGCGGAGTTTCAGGGGAGCCTTCTCTAGCAGCGAGGCAGAAGGGAACATGAAAGCGCGCGCTATATGAGCACAGAATTCGACGCTGATGCCCACGCAGATTACCAGATTAACGAGCGAGATGGCGTTGAGAGAGACGCCCATCACGGCCATGGTACCGATGATGTCCACCACGATCATCACTACGGTCAGCGTCACCACTCCGCCGGTGAAAAGGGAACCGAGTAAGGCGGATGTGATCAAGAAGATCACACCGACTGCCGCCCCGAGTAAAGTGCCCGTAAGCTTGACGATGGAGGCGTACTGGTCGAAGAAAATATAGAACTTGGAATACGGGAACACGTCAATGCCGTGGTTTGTCGAGATGTCGTTGGCGATACGCCGTGCAGAGGCATATGCGTTGATAAAGTCGGCCTGGGTACGCAGGGGAGTATGAGATGTCCGGAAGCTGCTTGCATTGGTCATTATCCGGTTGGAATCGAGGACCAGAGCATTGCTGTATGGAGCCTTGCCGCCAAGTGGACAGCTCTCGGTCGTGGGTGACTTGAGCCATTTCTCAGCATAGTGGATGAACTCAGCGCCCTCGGGCATTCCATACAGAGAGATATTCCAGCTGGGCTGACGGTTTTCGAAACACGTCTTGCCGTTCTCCTTGCAGCAGTCCTGTTGTGGATTGAGCCAGTAGAAGAAGTCATCCATCCAGTTGGCCGTTGCACCTGTGATGTACGAGACATTGGATCGTTTGGACTCTTGCTCTAGGACAAAACCGAGAGAGTATTCGTCGCATGTCGTAAATCGGCCACAGACCTGTTGCTGGTGCTCTCTGGTGGTGATGTTCACATCTCTCGTCACAAAGTAGACTGGAGGACCAACACGCAGGTACTCCGACATGTCGTTGAAGTATGGTATCAAGTACGAGCCGTTTGGGATGGCAATCCGCTGGTCAAGTCCTAGCTTCACTATGGGGATCAGGCCCAGTCCAGCAGTAAACAGGCCGAGGAAGAGCACTACCACCGCGACCTTTACATTCTTACCAAGCAGTCTAGTGGCATAAATCTTGCGGATAAACCACTGGAGCATGCTCTCACCGAAATCTGGCCTATCCTCGCCGGCAATGCCAGTGCTCCCAGACTTTCGGACAGCAATGCAAGGTATGCAGTCCACCCGCAGGTTTTCTACACGTTTCTGATTGAGAGCTAGGATGGAGACGAACATAGTGACTTGCAACAAAGCATTGATCAACACGGCGCCAGCTGCGTATGCAGCGAAGTTCTTTACCGCTGGCATGCCAACAAAGGCTCCCAGCGCAAAGGCAAAGGTCTCCGTGGTGGCTGAAAGGAGGATGCTCGGGCCAATCCTTCCAAGAGCTCGGGCAATGCGCTCATCAATCTCCTCATCTGGGTGGCTTAGGTTCACTCGTTCAAATTCATGTACAATGAGGAAGATATTATCGACACCCACAGCAAGGACTAGGAAGGGTATCACCTCTGCAATGATAAGCGTGACCTTAATGCCAAACGCAGAGAAGAGGCCAACAGATGCCGAAACGGACATCAAGACAATAAGAATACCGACGATTCCAAGCGTAAATTTCGACTGGACGAGAACATGGCTAGGGTTGTGAATAAGGGACTTCCAGCTGATGGTTGTAGAGCCCAGCGCAAGGGATGCGTATATGAACATGATGACATAGCTGATGACAACAATTCGGGCATCAGTGTTGGTCGACTTATTCAATTCCTGCTCCAGGGATATCTCAGTGCTGAACGAGATACGGAGGCCACGCTCATAAGCTTCCTCTTGTACAACCTGGAGAACCTGCTTCAACGTCTCTTCCCAGTCCATGGCTCGGGCTTCCATGTCTGATCCCTGTTCATAATTGTTGACCACCCAGGTGATAATGAGGGAGCGAGCGTCCAGGATATCGGTTGTGTCATTGAGCCCGCCCAGGACCATCTCCGGCGCTAGGGGTTGTTGGAAGTCAGGAAGGCAGTCTCTTGAGCCTGGGGATTGAGCACAATGTTCCAGATGGGACCTCCAAGTGTTTGGGTTGACATTGGCGAAGGATCCCCCGAAATAGCCAGACACTGACTGGACAACGCAAGCACGTCCGGTTGGGTTGAAACAGACGTCATCCAAGGTCAAGCGTCTGTTTAAAGAGATCATTCTGCGGACACGGTTCTCTACATCAAACCACCAGCCCAAGGTTTCGTAATCCAACACGGGCTCTGGCTTGTTGGTGTCAACGTCTTTGACGACAAAGACCTGTTCGATACGGTAGAAAGGCTCAAAATTGGAATCAAAGTAGTGCTTTTCCTCTGCGGCGGCCGAGTTAGGGCTTACCCATAACCTGACAGGGTCAGTTTCAACTGCAAAACGCAGCCAGCCAAGACTGAGTAGTAGCGATATTATGACTGTCAGAGTAATCGTCAACGCAGGGAACCTTGCACAGATTCCACCTAGCCGGTTAAAGGCATTTCCTAGTATATGATTGAGCATATATGGCTGAGGGATCCCAGTATCCTCAATAACTTCAGCCTCCTCCTCGTCGTCACTCGGTGCATCGTCCTGCAGAAGACGAACTCGCTCAATGTTCCGGGAACGGTGCCGTTTGAAGGCAGATCTGGCAATTGCCAGGACCACGATAAGCATCAGGGAGATAGAGTATACTAGGATTGCAGCAAATGTCAGGCAGGGCAAGCTTCCTACCCTGCAGGGTTTTTGTCCCTTTATGGCGGGGAGCTCAGCACAGACACTCGGACAGTCGATACACGAACAGCGGTAGGCCTTGTTCTTATCGGCACAGGATCTTGTTTCATCGGACACCGGCTTCATGCCGTGGCCGTCCTTTGGCCGTCGAGGCTCGGTAAGGAAGTTGATCTGGAACGGGCTGCCGAGAAGCTTCTTATCACCCAGAAACTTAAGGAACTGTTTGTAGTTCTTCGCCCCTCCACCGATAAAGTCCATGGCCTTGCCTCCAGAAGCTCCGTTCTTGACATTCTTACAGCTGTCGTAAAAGTTACTCTGGTATTCTTCCGACCAGACATTGTCCAGCTCGGTGACCAGCAGCTTTCCGTTCACCTCGGCCACATCGGTAACGTTGATGAACAGAGACTGGTCCGGGGAACAGGTGAAGGTGCAGAACAGGTTGTAGAAGTTCTCCTTGCAAGCTGGGCAGGATGAGATGACTCCCCCAGCCAGCTTCAAGTTTGTCGACAATGCATTGATCTAGAACCAGTTAGCACAACGTAGGCAATCCAAGCTAGCATACAGCGCAATAGAGACAGTGAGAGATAGAGAGATGGAGAGAGAGAAAATCTACCTGCTCTTCCTTGCAGCACACCGGCCCGTCTTCCCACTTCTTCCCACAGAGATGTACAAGCTGCTGCCGGACTCTCTGATCAGGCTGATGGGCCAGTCCATTGTCCGGACACGGCAGCTCACCGCCAAAGAAGGACTGCTTCCCACAGTTGCCTCTAATAGCACACCGGCCAGCCTCGTGGACCTCTGTCAGCGCAGCCTGGGAGAGACTGGCTATACCGCCGAGGGCTGCCAGTGCAGCAGCGGAGGAGAACCTCATCGCCGGGACCTCCAGACGGTATCTCGCAGGGCCAAAGCAGCGTGCCAGCCGCGTCTCGTGTGTATCTATGTCACGTCTAGCACCCACTCCGCAGTCCCACCAGCTCGTCCGCCGTTTTGGTGATGTTGGTTGTTGTATATATCGGCCGGTCGTTGTGGCTGGCTCAGCTACGTCATATCGGGTGAATCAAGGCCACTGCCGTCGCGGCCAGGAGGGGAGAAGCTGCTCGTATATATAAGTAGCAGCCACGGCAGGGACCAGATAGCAGCTCGACAGCGTCTCTTCGTCCTCGTCGTCGTCGTCGCTGTCGCTGTCGTTCGCCCTCGTCGTCGCCCGCGTTGTCTTGCTTTGTCGTTGTTTTTGCCGTCTTTTTGGCTTTTTTCGACGTCACAGAGATATGGATGACTAATAATATCACGTGTCTAGACCCAAAAAGGGGAGCCAAAGCAAAAAAAAAAAAAAAAAGACGACGAAGCGACAGCGAAAAGCAGCGCCAGAAAGGCATGCGATGCGAGAGACGGATATAAAAAAAAGGAGCCTTGCAGGCGCCGGCAGTAGAAAGCGTAGAAGGCCGCAAGCGTAATAAAGAGCGGCCGCGGCAGGCGGTGGGAGCGCGTAGACGGCGGGCGTGGCTGGTGCGTTGCTGCGAACAAGAAGAGACAACCACGCAGAGACTATTTAGTTACACCTTGAAATTTCGCTCTCTCGCTGCATCTCAAGAAATATCAACCACCCAACCCGCAGCTCCCTCGCTCCTTTCTCTCTCTTCTTCTTCCTCTTGCTCTCGCTGTCTCTGCTGTGAGAAGTCGCCTGAGCTGTCTGTCTGTCTCTTTAAACGAAACGAAAGTCCGCTGTCAAACCGTCATCCATGGCTTCAGTAAGTCTGCCGCAGCGCTGCTATGCTAGCAAAGAACAGCCCCCCCCTTCGCTGGCTGTGCGGAACTGACTGACTGTGTCTTCTGCCTCTGCTGTAGCCCCATCCTCCTCACGCGTTCACGAGCACTCCTTATACCCTGCCGAACGGTTCGACGGTGGTGCCAACTCCGGGGGCGACGCCGCTGCTACCAAACAACGGCAGGATCATTCAAAATGGAGCTGTGAGGATCCTCTGTATTGCGGACGTGCGAGGTGAGGACCTACCCCGTTAAGACCTCGTTGCTACGCCTGGTGTTCGCGGGAATACGGGGAATATACAAGTTTGATGTTTGCCGCTACCTGTCTGCTGTCCTATCTAACATGCGTGAAATGCTGCTGTAGGAAACCTCAAGTCGTTAAACGAACTCGCCAAACAAGCTCGAGCTGACCACATCATCCACACTGGTGACTTTGGTTTTTATGATGATAGCTCTCTGGAGAGAATTGCAGACAAGTAAGCCAGCTTCCTATTTGCTCTCCTGTTTTGTCTCTGTCTGCACATACTGACTCCTTGTTGCTCCTGTGTAGGACCCTTAAACATGTTGCACAGTACTCTCCTTTGCTCCCAGAACCCATTAAGCGCAGCGTTGCTCAGGTCCCTCCCCAGCAATCCATCAAGCAGCGGTTCAGTCCCGAGCAGCTCCCACTTTCCGAACTCCCCCTCCTCCTTAACAAGCAGATGACCCTCGACGTGCCAGTTTATACCGTGTGGGGCGCCTGTGAGGATGTCCGTGTGCTGGAAAAGTTCCGCTCTGGCGAGTACAAGGTCGACAAGCTACACATCATCGATGAGGCCAATTCCAGACTACTAGATATCGGCGGGGTCAAGCTTCGTCTGCTTGGCCTCGGAGGCGCAATTGTTATGCACAAGCTCTTTGACAACGGTGAGGGAAAGACGACCATTGCCGGTGGCCAGGGTACCATGTGGACTACGCTGCTGCAGATGGGAGAACTAGTCGATACTGCCAACCGTGTCTATGACCCTGCAGAGACCCGTATCTTCGTCACCCATGCATCCCCTGCCAGAGAGGGCATGCTGAACCAGCTGTCTGTCACCCTCAAGGCCGATTTCTCCATCTCTGCCGGCCTGCACTTCAGATACGGAAGCTCTTACAACGAATTCAGCGTGAACCCGACTCTGGACCATTACCGCGGTAAACTGGCTGCGTCCAAGGCCTCCTTCAACGATGTCTGGGATACAGTCCGCGGTGAAGTCGAGTCCGCTATAAATGCAAACGAAGCCCAAAAGACTCTGCTGGACAACGCCCTGGACATAGTCCAGAAGATGCCTAGCATTGCTAACGGGGGTAACCCATTCGGCGGACCAGTAACAGCAAGCAACGCGGGCGGCCAAGTGGATGAGAGTGCTTTCAAGAACCTGTGGAACTTCAACCTGGCTGATGCTGCGTTTGGATACCTGGTCCTCGATATCGAGGGCGGCCGAATCGGTACTGAGATGCGTGCCCAAGGCTTCAACTTCTCTCACCGTGGCGGCAAGCCTACTACTACCAGTGCTCCCCAGACCGGTGCTGCTCCTCCAGCACTTGCCAATCCTTCAGGTCCTGCAGGAGGCACATCCGGAGGGCCAGGAGGACCTCCACATACCCGAGTAGCGCCACCGCAATTTGGGCAGATACCGGCCCAACCATCACGGAACACCGGCAACCAGTATCCTCCCCAGGTCTCTTCCACACAAGCCCCCAACCAAGGTAAACAACACCCGCCTCTGCCACCTAAGTCTACCGCCTCTCCTGCCCCTATCGGCGCCAACAAGGAGAAACCAGCAACCCCCAAGCCAGTAACCCCTCTCGCCGGAACTCCCGCTCCCCAGCAGCAACAGCAGCAACAACAAGCTCCATCTGCCGAGAACTCTGCATCCGAAGCCAACGGTTCCGCCCAGCAGCCAGGACAAGCAGACTCAAAATCGACCACCTCCACGGACAAGAAACTAACCTGCGGCCTTTTCATCTCTAACGTAGACACTGAGGAGGCTGTTCGACAATTATGGCCTGAAGAAGACCGAGCAAAGATCGTCAAGATCGAAAAATGGGGCAAATTCAACTATGTAGTCACCTTTGCTACCCCAGAAGACTCCAAGCTTGCCCTCGAGAGACAGCCACTGGAGCACAAGAAACCCAGCCCTGCTGGACCCAACCGAAAGCCCAATGTCAAGGTCTTCGAAGACCGGGCTTCACACCGTTCCTCCAACCGTGATGGCCAAGGAAATGCCGGTACATGGCAGGCCAGCAGCCGCGGCGGCTCGTCAGCAAACACTCGCAGCGGTTACCAGAGCGGAAGCGCGGCCAGTGATGGCGAGGGCGGTAGAGGAGGCCGAGGAGGATTCGGAGGACGTGGAAGAGGCGGACGTGGTGGTGACCGAGGCGGAAGAGGTAGTGGTCGTGGTGGACGAGGCATGGGATACAAGGGAGCAGCTGGCGAATCGAGCTCTCCTGCATCTACTCCAGCCCCTGCGGGAGACAAGCCCACTCCTTCGGCTACCGAGTCATGATTGATTCGTTCTGAGACATCGCTTTTTAGATATCCGTATTCCGTGCATTCTCGGGGGATGTATCCTGTCTACTTACTCTTTTACCGTCTCCTAACTATCGCCTCCATATCTGTCCGTCGTACCCTCTAACACCTTGCTCCATTGCTATTCGAAATCCTATTACCCCTGTTTTTCTATATCAAAACTGTTCCATAAAACGCTCCCTCTTCTGCTTCTCTTTATTCCCAATTATTTATATCCCCTTTAAACGTAACATTGTTCTATCCATTCCTCGCACCCCCCTGAACCTGAGATACCTTAAATCCTGTACTCAATATGTTAACCAGCTTCCTTCTGACCAGGAGGTTCCCTTACTATTGGCAGCTCGCGTACTTGATTACTAGTAAAGTGTTCCCGTATGTAATGTAGAATTTCTGATTATAGGCATTCGTAGCTTTTGTCAACAAACATGGAGTAAATGTAGATTAAATGTAGATGTCTTTGTATCGCTTGGACTCTTTAACTATGAATGCCTTTTCATTCACTATGATCAAAACCCTATATTTACAGATCCCCCCCCTCCCCCCCAACCCCCCATAATTGCTGTAACCAAAGCTAGCATCCACATGATATGGCTCTCAATATCTGGAGATAGAGATTCTTCTGTATTAAACAAATCAAACGCTATAGACGCTAAATATGTAGTCCATCCGTACACCAGTCCATCCATCTGGGCCACTCGCGCCTTTCTGTGTTGTGAAGTAAATCAGGCATACCATGTGGTATAACAAAAGGACAAGAAAACAGCCGTAGCTACGGCAGTCAACTTTGCTCTCTGTTATCCCCCATTGCCCTTGTCCTGCAGGCGGGAGAGTATACATATTTCAACAAGAATCAAAGCAAGCCAAGAATCAAAGAAGTCTGCCAAACCAACACGGGGGAGATGATGTCAATAAATATCCAGAACAAATCAGGTGGAGGTTATTTTGTTCATGCTCATGAGAAATAAAAGAAGGAATATAGAGGTATATAGACCATCATGATCGTCCTTAGGGAGGAGCCGTCTGCGAAAGATCCTTGGGACGTGGGCATGTAGCCAAAACTTCGAAGAGCTTGAAAAACAAATATTGGACAAGGACGAGAACAAGGAACAGAGCGCAGCAGCAGAAAGAGCAGCGAGCTAGCGTGTAAGCGGAACGCAAACAGGGAATAGCCATCAATCGAGGAGTCTGATCCCTGTTTCAAAGCGGGAAACTGGTATGCAGTTATCAATCTCGAATTAACGAACAAAAATCAAATCGCTCTGGTAACGATATCGTCGACGTCCTTTTGGTCAATGACCACACCGCCCTCGGAGCAACGGGCTTTGGTACGTAGTTGAGTGCAGAGGTTGTCGACATCAATTTCACCGTTGCGGAATTTCTCCAGTCGTTGAAGACGATCCCTAGAAGCCGGGTTAGACGAACTATCGTTTGAATCAACCGATTTGACGGTAGGAACTGACCATATCTTAGTGCAGGATAGCATCTGAGATCTGTCTTCGCCCGGTACCACCTCTTCGTCATCATCGATATCTACCGTGGTAACCGGGGCATCAGTCTTTCCAGGTGTCTTAGCTGTGGAGCCGGGGGTTGCAGCATCAAATGCACCTAGGTCAGGTAGAGGGAAAGCATCATCAAAGAACCCGCTGAAATCCTGAGAAAGAACAGCGTCCTGTGGGTCACGATAATCGCCGAACAGAACTGGATCAAAGTGGCCGCCATTCTGCTGGGCGAGCCAGTCAAAGCTAGGGATGGATTGGTCAGAGAGCGCGTTGGAGGATGCTGTTGCGGAACCGTTCCCGCTGGGATCAGATGCTGTTTGGGTATTGTTTGTATTTTCAGACGCAGTGCTGGTGCTCATATTTGGCGTTGAGTTTGCAGGAGAAAGTGTGCTCACTGCATTCTCTGGGCTTTTGGGGTTTGTAGAACCTTGACTTGACTTCTTTGCCAGGGCTGCGGGGATGGGGTTATCAACGCAACCGCATGCTTCGCCTAGCTGCTGATAAAATTTCAGCTCGCACTGTGAAGGACTATTCTTTTTAGCGTTCCCGTTGCCGTTGGCCTGTGTAGAGTTGGATGCATCTCCCTTCTGTGCGATGGTAGGCGATGTAAGGCTAGACTCGGGGGATGTGCATATCGATGATATGTGCTGAGACTCTGATGAAGCCGAGGGCGACTCGGAGAATGTAGCAGGGGAGGTTTCAAAGTGGTGCGAGTTGTAGGTGTTTCCAGGAGCTTCATGGCCCTTATTTGCGCTGGAAGATTGGCCATTTTGTCTGAATGCACTGCCGTTTGACGGCGTGAACTGTGGAGTAGCTCCAATATGGCTGGTAGCTTTGATACCTAGGGCTGGATGTGTCTGGCTGCGAGCATTGGGGCTTCCCTTCGCCAACGATCCCATATTATTCATATGAGCCCCAGGTAGGTCGCCGAACTTGGGAAAATCAAAGGAAAAATCATTGTTCAAGCGAGACTGAGCGTGCAGGCTTCTCGCTTGATTTAGCAAGCTAGTTGTTGGGGAAAAGCTGTTTCCACTGCTGATCCATGATAGCCGTTTGCGGTATTCCTTCAATTCGACTTGGAGACGCTGAATATGTGCGCGGAGTAATGTGTTTTCTTGATTTGCGGTTTGAGAGGCGCGTTCAAGGTCAGCAACCTTGGTTTCGAGGTCCTTGAGATGCTTCTCCTTGCGGTCGCGGAACGCTCGCTGTGCAGCTCGGTTTTGAGCTTTCCGTTTCTATGACCAAACCGTTTAGTAACTGAAGTTAATAGGGGATATAAGGGGAGAGCAAGGCTCAGAAGACACTTACGGTTGTTGGTTCTGAGGTTAACGGCTTTCTCCCAGGTTTCTTCGCAACCTTTTCTTCATTTTCCTTGCGTTTTTTCCCTGTATCTGCACCCTCCCCGCCGTCAAGACTCTTTCTCTTTTCGCGAGGTTCAGCAGTTATCTGCTGTTCACCCTCTATGCCAGGGAGGTCTCCAATCAAGGCTTGATCTGAGACATCGAATTCAGCATCTAGGTCGAGTCCAAGGAATGGGCTGTCGTCTGGATTGAAGCTGAGTTGACCGGAGTCTGGAATATCCTGAGGAGATGAGTCAAAAATGTCGTTTCCAGATGAGCCGTTTGCAGAGCCGAGATTGGGCTGAGGACCAGGTTTGGTTGGCTGATTATTAGAGGAGAGGGCAGCGAGGAGCAAATCCTGCTGGTCGGGCGATAAATAGAGGCTACGCTGGAAGGAAGGGTCGAATTCAGCCATTTCGAGTAGGGTGGACGCTGACAGCCAAAAAAATGGCGGAAGTGATACTTCAAGTAGATCCGGTCAAGTGGGTGAAATGATGGGCCTCTCCAGGAGATGAGCCGGAGTAACTCGTCCCCGTGGGCAAGCGTGGGGTGGTGGAAAGGACAAAAGCAGCGATGTCAGGAAGAGATGATTGCAATTTGTTCTAGAAGCGGTCCAGGGTGTAACTGAGCGGTGTTTTTCTTTTCCCCCGTCGTCTAGAATTGCAGGACAGAAGAATGATGGCCTCGACGATGGCCAGGCAAAAAAAGGTCGGGCTTGGAAGAATGGTGGAAGACAGCGATCGAAGGGAGAATAAGCTGCCGGCCAAATTGCGGCACAACCAGACAAGGACTAGGACAAGGGCCAGGATGGTGCGTTGCGGGTTCGAAGTGTGCAGAAGATGGTGGAACAGGCGACCAGCGACTGAGATCGACTCTCACGCGGTGACATCGCCCGTCTGTGGACAGCTGGCCGGAGGTAACACGCAGGTTGGCTGAAGCCTGAAGGGCGCTCGTTAGCGGGAGGCCGAGAACGGGGGGTCTCGTATTTCACCGTCTGTAACACTTGGAGCCGCGGCTAAAAGTAACCAGGGACGATGACACACACAGCGCCAGCAACGGAGCAACACGGGAGAACGAAAGCCGACCAATTGCTTGCTTTCAGAGCAAGATCGTCGAGATATCAAAAGCGAGCGACGAGGCTGAGGATCAAGTTGAAGCTGAAGCTGACGTCGAGAATTTCTTCTTTAGGCCAGCAAGCGCCGAAGGCCGAAAGCGGGACGATCGCCCGCCGCTTTAAGAGGCCAGGGTTTGCTGACAAATTGGAAAGATAAAGTTTGAGCTCTTATCTGATCGTATTTCACGTGATTAAAATGTCACATGACTCGAAGTTACTGGAAGTCATATGATATATTTCTTAATCACGTGAGTAGTTTTCCAACTTCAAATCATGAAAAAAGCGCCAGGAAAAGACGATCAAGAAGGCCAAAGTAGAGCATGTAAAGAGCATTAGGGGTGTTGTATTCGAGAAAAGCCGAGGCAGGCTATATCTTTCTTCGGTTTCCAATAGTTGCCTCTTTTTGCCCTTGTTGAAACCATCACGCCCACGATACCACTGAAAACTGACGTCAGTGGCCATCTGCTCAGCACACCGACATCATGACGGACGTTGCATCTATGGAGGTGGAGGTAAAGGAGTTTATGCTACAGGTATTGATATCCTTCCTGTCATGCTTAGAATACAGAATTACTGACTTTTTTTTTTTTTTTTAGCTCGAAACGGTACAGTCCAGCTTGCAGGTCGACCCTGATAACACAGAACTTCAGAGTCTAAAAACAGAGCTGGAAGAACTCATAGCACTTACCAAACAATCCATCGACGAGCTACGACCCCCCACCGAGCCTCTGCCAGCCCCAGAACCGGTCAAGGAGAAGTGGTCCAAGGAGAATCATCCCGCGTACCAGGCTGGATACCGCAAACCAACCCCAGCAGCTCCGACAGCCGCCGCAGACGCTACCCCACCGCAGGAGGAGCAGACTCAGCCGGCCTCGTTCTGCGTTAACGACAACGTCCTCGCCCGCTGGACGTCGGGTGACGGCGCTTTTTACCCTGCTCGCATCACTTCCCTTACTGGCTCAGCCACCAATCCCATCTACATCGTCTCCTTCAAGTCATACTCCACTATTGAGACCTTGACGGCAAAGGATATTCGCCCTCTCTCTGCTCCTGACTCGAAAAAGCGAAAAGCTGATAATATATCCTCATCACCAGGCAGTTTAGCCCCCAACAACATCAACAGTTCGAGTACGGGTCATGACAGTAGCACCGGTTCACATGTAGGCGCCGAATCCAGTGTTATCTCAGCTGCAGCTGATATCAACCCCGACCTCGCCAACCAGGCAAGGATTGTGGCCGGCCAGAACGATGGCTTACCACGCCCGTCAAAGGCCGCTCGCAAAGTGAAACGGAAGAAAGACTTGGAAGCCGGCAAGAACAAGTGGCAGGACTTTACGAGCAAGAGTAAATTCGGAAAGGTCAAGAAGGAATCCATGTTTAGGACACCAGAAGGAATCAATGCAAGAGGTATGACTTTGTACTCTCCCGTAATGCTTGTCGGTTTGGATTTACTAACTGGATTTCGTCTAAGTTGGCTTTACCGGTTCGGGGCAGCAGATGCGCAAGGATCCCACCCGCAGCCGTCACACTTATAGTCAAGAAGATGACGTCTACTAGGGCTTTTATCTTTTTTTGCATAGTTCTTTACTCCATATTCCCCGTGTCTCTGCCGTGGTTTTATATTTCCTTTAAAGTCCCTGGCTAACTTGGTCACAGCGCAGGATCGCGGCAAGCACTGCATTTTTCTATGGCGCTCGGGAGGCTGGCCAATTGAATCAATCACATTGTTATTATTAAAAGAAAATACAAACGGGTCTCATACTGGTAATTATAATGATTGTATATGCATTCGTCGTTCTATATACCATTGTTCGAACCCAACCTTTTCTATAAGCTGTCGACAAGGCTAACTTCGAAACAATTTTAACCCTCCTTCGGCATCATCATCCACAGACTCACCATCATTATCAGTGTCTTCATCCTCGCCTAGCACATTATTCACGCTTCGACCCAACAATGAAGCAAAAAATTCGTCTCTGGCTCGATTGGACCATGAGCCGCGGTCTTCTGGAGCCATGAAGTTCTGTAGTTTCTCATGCACATTATACTTCATCTTTCGCCCCTTGGAAGCCTTGGTATCTACTGTCCGCTTTACCTTGTCCTTGCGCATTCCTGTAATGGGGTTTGTAGTCCCACTCCTGGCAAGCTGAGTAGATAACGAGTCCAACATAACTCCACCGTTGGCAGATGCTGCCATACGTTGCTCAACCAAGTCACGGAGAAGTGACTGATAGAATGCTGTATCATCGTATGCTATTCGCGCTTCAGACTTAGTGTTGGAAGCAGATGGCTTATCATTTCTGCTCTCTTTTGAGACATACGTCTCCAAAACAGCGGTCATGTTCTGCTCCTCTGAGCTGGTATTCAACAGCTTGCCCCGGTTGGTATTAGAAAGAGTGCTGCTACGTGCTCCGCGAACCTTTCGAGACCATTTATCGAGCACTCCACGTCGGTGAGAGAGGGATTGGGCCTCAAGCTCACACATCTGGCTCCAAATGTCTACCGAGCTTGTCTCTACTGTTGCAGGGGCAGGCCTCTTGCGTTTCTTTTGGTTAGCGTCACCCGCAGTCTGGTGCTCCGCGAGTGTTTGTCGAAGGTCACCCAGCATATTCCAGAGCGATAACGCAGCCGTTTCAGCAGACTTTATCAGGTCTTCAGTCTCGTCTGTGGGTAAAGTCTCGCCATTGAGTACAGTGAGACCCTTCTGTAGCTTAATCCGGGAGTTTAGCAACGCATCGAACGTAAGTCTCTGTTGCTTCACAGCTGCACCTTTAACAGCATCAGCTTTAGCAGCCTGTGATATTGATGCGGTCACAATCTCATCCCCACTGGCCATCAGTCGTCGCAGTTCTTCGCGGTCGTTGTCAGGGGTATTAGTGAACTGTGACTTCGATTTCTCTCGTAGTTCCTCCTCCGTATCATCTTCACCAGACACATCGGACTCATCATCTTCGCATGATTCCATGCCATCCGCCTCGGATTCGGCAGTCATGTCTTGATTTTCATCTTCCTCACTTGCGGAAAATCCGTCACTAACGCCATCGTCGGTTCCTTCACTCTCATCCTCCTCTAGAGATCCTGATCCGCTAGAGTCATATCCATTCAAATCATGTCGACTAACCCGCGATCCAGCATATTCGCTTCCTAGCTCTATTTGCTCTGCTTTTCTGAGTTTGCTCTTGCTGCCGGTCTGTTAGCAGGTAATTATTGGGGATAGATTATTTGCAACATACCTCACGGCTTCGTAATGCTCTCTCCCAGTATCAATATCTACACCATCGCTACCACTGTCGCTGTCACTCTCTTGAACGCCGTCGCTCTGATCCTCTGGGTCGAATTCTATCATTGCATTATCAGTCCACTGTTCAACCAGTATCTCGAATAACAAGCAATTAGGGGAATGTACCTTTGGGAGTGGGATCTTCAAGCTCGGCGATCTGCTCTGCCAATGTTTTATCTCGTCCTTTCTTCACAGACATTGTGACCCTTCTAGCATAGCAAGTCGCTGTTATCGAAGTTGTTCATCTACCTTTGAGCTTTTTTTTTTCTTTGGTTATCGAGAAAAACTTCGGGAAAAATTTCCTTTTGAGTTTCGCGGCATCCAGAGCAAGTTTTGCCGAGCCGCAACTTCAAGCAATCTCAAAACATCCATTGCAAGAAGCAAAGGCGTCGAGGACAGGGTCAATTGTTACAAGTTCTCGAACAGAGTGCGGTTACCATGCGGCGGGGCTTCTTTTCCACCTGCCGCCAGCTTCAGCATGAAAACCCATTAGTATGTTATCTCCCTCAATTCTATCCTTAGGCCTCCAGCTAATGCATGTTTTACTTGTAGGGACTGCCCAGGTCTGGGACACCACCAACATTTCAAAGTCGTCGTGGACTGCCCCAGAAACGGAGGATCAAGGATGTTAATAAGGTCGTTGCTGTATCATCGGCAAAAGGAGGAGTCGGGAAATCTACAATTGCAGGTTAGAATGTCAATGGTATATTTTGGGCTCGGGGCTAAGGCTGGACTGAACAGTGAATATTGCGTTGTCACTGGCAAGACGAGGATTCCGGACTGGAATTCTCGACACAGATATATTTGGACCATCTATACCTACTCTTCTCAATCTATCTGGAGAACCGCGGCTTGACGGGAGTATGTGTTCTCTTTGACCCCATCACCGATGCAAACAGCTGAGCGCTCCTTTTTCCCTCCATTCTTTCAGATAACTGCCTCATCCCGTTGACCAATTATGGCCTGAAATCGATGTCTATGGGATATTTGCTTCCATCCCCGCCTGAAGATGCGAGACATTTGACGGATGACCCTAGCTCGCCGCTCATGGATACCACTCCCATATCCTGGAGAGGACTCATGGTCAGCAAGGCGATGAACCAGCTTCTCCACTCTGTCTCATGGGGTCCGCTAGATGTGCTCATACTAGACCTTCCGCCGGGAACAGGAGATGTGCAGCTTACCATCAACCAGGAGGTAGTTGTTGATGGCGCTGTCATAGTGTCTACACCGCAAGATATTGCTCTACGTGACGCAGTTCGAGGATTTGGCTTGTTTGAAAAGATGAATGTCCCTGTATTAGGAATGATACGGAACATGGCTTATTTTGCTTGCCCGCATTGTGGAAAGCAAACTAAGATATTCTCACGATCGAACTACCATGCCGCGGGAAATGAAGGACACCAGCCCAATCATGGTGAGAATACCGGAGTTGTTGCGGCCTGTAAACGCCTTGGTATTGATTTTCTGGGAGACATCCCTCTTGATGCGCGCGTCTGTGAAGATGCAGATAGAGGTATGCCAACTGTCGTGGCTGAAGAAAGTGACGATAGAAGCGCTCGCCGGAATGCTTTCTTGGATGTATCGAAGAAAGTTGCGGAAAAAGTTGGACTCGAGTGGTGAGACAGGTCTGAAGCGAATAATTCCTTCATAATATTCCTTCAGCATCACCTCCCATATACCATTTGTATAGTCCTGCTTGCCAGCCGTGAGACACCCTAAAGCCTCCAGATGAGGCTCTACATCCTTTTAGCATACTTATTGTACCATCCCTAACCTCTTTGAACATTTTATTATTATCTATTCGCTTTATAAACACCTGGCTGTTGTTATTAGGAAATCGAGATTAAATTTAGCGTAATGTATAGTATACAACACAAATAGTATATGGCAAGTTGAAATTAAAAACCCAAGTGTAGTATTTGGGTCGCGATTTAATAATCTTTAGAAATGTAGCCACCATAGCTTCTTGATAGATAAATTAATTTTGAAATTACCATCATCTTCAACGGAACCC